AAACACACCAACCTCCCCAAACCCAATCAAACAAACACACAAACACACTGACCCCCCAAACATAAATATTCCCAAACCTAGATACCCTCCCAAACACAACCACACCAACCTCCCCAAACCCAAACCCACATCAACCCCTCCAACACAAACACATCAAAACTCCCAAACCCAACCAAACACACACAAACACACTGACCCCACCAAACACAAACACACCAAAACCCCCAAACTCAACCACACAAACACACATCCCCAGCTCCCCAAACCCAGCCAAACACACATCAACACTGGACTCTCCCCAAACCCAAACCCACCCCAAACCCACACAGGTCCCACCTCCCACCCAGCCCCAGGCCCAGGACCAGCAGGACACTGAGCTCACCTGGCCCTGTTCTTCTCAACACCTCTCTGCCCCCACACTCCCCACCTGAGCGAGGAAGGACTGGAGTGCTGGCTGGCTCAGAGCTGATTTGGACTACTCTGCAGTACTGAAATGTTTGAAAAGGTTTTACCTAGAAAATGTCTCACAGAGTCCTCTGCGACAAAGAAACCCAAATTGGAAAATTTTACCAATTCCAAGTGCAGCAGTGTTACAGAAACGTGTGAACCTCCCTCGAAATAAACCCAAGGCTCCTGCTTGCTCTGCAGCTGGGACTGATGAAAAGCGAAGGATGGACAGAGCTAACAAACAGCCTGTGCCTTTCAGCAAGGCTGCTTTGTGCTCCTTTCTGTCATGACCAGTGTAATGACCAGAAAAATGATATAAAGAAGTTTTAATTTTGCTTTTATCCCGATCATAACTTCTTATTAGAGTTGAAGAGATTATTTGGGATGCGTTGGGACAGCAGATGAAAGCAACAGAGAAAGCTCCAGCCTTACTGCAGATGTGTTCCTCTCTTTTCTTCCACATTCTGCTGTCATAATTTCAGTTTTAAAAATAAACTGTGCTTGTGTAGTTAGTTCCATTACTTTTTTCTTTTTTTGGGGGGTGAAAAAAACCTTATTTCAAGATCTGGTTTCTGCTCCTCTGCTTGCAGCTGTGTTATCCAGAATTCAATTCCCATGAGATATTGACATGCTGGATTTCCAAGTCTCAGTCATGCCAGATTTACTTTCCTTCACGTCACGTTGGTAATTCTGCAGTGCTGAGAGGACAGGGAAATCAGGGACCAGTTTGTCAAGCTTCACTTGGAGAATATACCCAGACTACAGTGGGCCAGCCCAGCAGGGCCAAAGAGCAAGAGGGTTTTTTCCCCCTCAAACTGGTGGAAACCATACTACAAAGGAGCAGTGTTTTGGCAGCTGTGATCCCGTGCTCAAGAATTTTTAGACCTTGCCAATTTTGTAGCAAAATAAAATATCTTCAGAGAGGCCTAAGGACCCATCATCTTCATCACACAGGGGTACATGTTCAGGCAAGCACATACTCACCTACAACCAACCTCAGAACAAGAGAGCCTAGGGCAGAACCCCTCAGAGGTGTTACAAAACATTGAAAGAAATTCTGAAGATGAAGTACTCCTGTGCATACCCAAATACATGTGCTGCATTACAGCTCACACACAGTCAACAGAGGAAGCATCTTCAAAAAGAAAGTTAACAGCAGGTTGTAGTTCATTTTTTCCTTTGGTTTCCTTATTCTCCAAACAGGCTATTTTCAGCACACATTAAAAGGCACAGTATAAATAAGGCAATGTAATTTGGCAGCAGAAAAACCATCTTATTCCATATGTGATCTAATGAGGTAGCTATTTCAGTATGCAAAACTGATCTTATAATCACTTATATAATCACATCTTATATAGCTGAATAATCAGCTAAAATGTTAAAGTTTAAGTCAAAATAGACTTTTAGGTGTTAATAAAAACAGATATCTGCAGTGACAGCAATGCAAAAACCCCCAAACTGCTATACAATAGACCCTACCAGAAAAATGAATAACAGTGCAAATATTTTTCCATTGAAACAACATGTTAAGTTAAAAATGGTAGTAAAATTCAAGGAAGAGATGGGTATTCATACAATAACAAACTCATCAGCAATTTCAGTGCCAATTAAAAAAAAAAAAAAAAGTTCATTCTACTGCACACCTCTCCCCTGTAAACTAAATTCAAGCCAAAGTTTTACACTAGAAGTTCTATCCTCTGAAGAAGTCCCTCATACAAATGCTACTGGTAAAGCACATCTTCTCAAATTCCTGGTTTTGCCAACTGTCACAATATTTGACTCATAACAACTCTTGCTTGTTTGTCATAAAGCATGTAGCAACAGGGGAAAAACTGTTGCATTATGGATTACATTTCATCCATACTATTTTACACAGAAGATAATTTTTGGGGATGTTTGTGATTGGTTTCATTGAGTCTTACTTTTTTTTCCAAAGTTGTCTTGGCTTCACTAGCTTCTTCATGAGACATCATATTAAACTAGGAATTGTTGTTTCTTCTGACAATGCAGGGTAATCTTTTGATAGGTTAACTTATATTTAATGCTTAGAATTTGCTCAGCAATTTATCTAACCCTACTACTTCTAATTTATCTATCTACTGCTGCCCTGAAGCACTTGAAAGACTAAAACATATATAAGAACTTTGAAAACTTTCCCCACAAAATATCACAGAAGAGTTTCAAATCAATTTCCAAGTTTTCAAAGTGCCATTCCCATTGCCTTCCCTCTCCCATGGATCCAGGGATTTGTACCTTTGTTTAGGATGAGCTGTTTCTTTGCTTGGCATGATGACGTTGGCATGATGACGCCCGAGGGAGATGCCTTTGACATTTTGGGAGAGGAAAGAGTGTCTAAGTGACAACTTCAAACCTAAGCAGAGGCAATAAGCCATGGGCAAGGTGCCCAACTTGAGCATGACGCACTTCATGATGGATCAGAGAGGCTGAGTCTTCCTTGAGAAAAGGCAAAGGACAGCATTGCTGGTAAGAGTGCTTCATTAGCTTTCCTTGGAGGATGTGTAGAGTGAATATTGATAACACCATTGTCATTGATAGTTCACTGAAGGAGAAGCATTTGTACAGAGCATCCAGCACCAACAGTGAGATCATGCATCAAATCAGACCTAATTACTGTCTGCAGTTTTGGAACGAAGAGCTGCATGACTCAGATGAGGAGAGAGAATTCCTCTCTTGCTACTTATCTCCCACATGGGGAAGCACAGGGAAAGGGGAATAAAACACATTAGGTTAATTCTGTAGAGAAATTCTTTTGTCATAAACATTCAGTTCAGCAAAGAGAGGGCCAGAGAAATAGGATTTGTAGTTCAGATACCTGAAGCATATGTTCAATAGTCAAGGCAAGTCAAATACCAGCCCCTTCTGTGCACACAGGGAAGTTTAGAGAAGTTCAGGCTGGCAGGACCTCTGCAGGTCCTTTCCCACTCTCTGACACCCCTCCAGGGCACTCAGACCAGAGCATTTAAACTCACACGGGGATGCCAAGGGCCTTAGCAAGCTTAGTTTTGAAATTCTGTCCCATTCCATCCTTGGATCTATTCAAACCTGACTAGATGCTCCTGGACCAACTGTTGTGGCTGACTCTGCTTGGAGCAGGGGGATTAGAGTACGAGATTTCCAGAGATTTCTGAAAAGATTTCTGACCTCAACCTCTTTCAGAGCCCACTGTATTTCTGGAGACCCTGTTAGCCCACCCATGGGGGGCCTGCTCCCCTTGAGTTAGACCTGCCCCAGAAATACTTCTGATCTATATACTGATGTAGCCAATTTGAAATTTGTCTTAGGAGCCACAGGACGCACAATTATAAAAATTAATCTTTGTCAGGAAATGCTAATAAAGGAAAAAGATGAGAAGCAAGTAAGCTCAATCCTTTTACAACTTACACATCACAAAATTCAGCATAAAGAAACAACTTTAGTAACATTAGCTGGATTTCATAGTTATTTTGAAGAGCATTTGAAGACAAAAACATTTGAGTAGAAAGGCAGAAAAGCAACAAACCTGTTTGTTACACACAGGCATTATCTTCTCATCATTAAAAGGAAAGAATACTGCCTTATTACCTTAAAAAAATATATCTTTTATGTTATTTTCAAGGCTCTATACAGTTGGATATGACACTGCATAGAGAATGGAGGTGAGGGACCAGTCCAGTCAGTCCTTGCTCTGTGATAAGATAAATCAAATTCTAAAAAAAGAAGACAAAATGCACTAGATGGAGAGAAACAAGGACTAAAGTGATGGGATTATATGAGGTAACTCCTGTGTTAGCATTAGGCAAAAGCAAAAGGCAAGCAGAGGAAAAACCTTGCTAACATACTCAGAATTAAGTAGCTAGTTCCAACTGAAAGAGAAGATAAGTGAAATGGAAAATGGTCTCCCAGTCTACAGAGGGACCTGTGTTTAATATCAACCAAAATAGTTTATATGTAGCAAGAAGTCTCCAGATGGAAGCTGTACTTTCTCTGCCAAGACAATTCTCTAAGGCACCACTGGATGAGGTCTTCCCAAATAAATAGATGTGAAATTCTGCAAGGGGGAGCAAAACAAATATAAAAACTGAATTCTCCTAATATTATCTTCGTAAGTAACAAGCTTTTTTAACTCTCTCTCTTTTTTACTTTTTCTGGCACAACAAATACAACACAACACATTCATCCATCTCACAAAAGAGAGAGGAAAAAAAAAAAGTGCATTTCATATCAGATGCTTTGCGTCAAGACTGCTAAGGCTCATAAATCAGCTGTCTATTGCCCTGGTCATTTCAACCAAAGTCTGACCCTTTTGTTAACTCATGATTTATAACTGAAAGTTACTTTTTTTTAAATGCCAGATTTATAAACTTTACTGTGCTTGGTTTGATATAATATCCATTTTGTACACCAAGCTATAAGACAGTAAATTTATTGTCTATGAACTGTTACCTTGAAAAATTACATCAATGCAAAGTGGTTTCCATTTAGAATCAATGGGCAATAAATTCATTGGATTTTTTTTTGAAGGGGGGAGAGAACATGATGATATTTATGAGGTCATGAGTGGCTATATAATGGGTGAAACTGGGAGCTGGGGCTAGAGTTAGACAGGAGTTCTGAGTTACAGGGTTAGACACAACGAAACGCCCGACACAGCAACGATGCATAAACTGATACTCTGCTGTCTCATTATTGTCAGCATCTCCTGTCCTCTCTTGTCTCTCCCCATCATCAATGCCAGTGAGATGTCTTATCAACACTCAGGTAAGAGTCTTTTGATTTTAATGGTTATCAAACAGGGGCTGGAGCAGTAAAACCAGGAGAGCAGCAGGGGTGCTTTGCAAGGGGCCTGAATCTGTGCTCAGCTGCAGGAAAAGCAGGAATGCCTTCAGGACAGCAGCAGCACAAGGGACATCCATAGCAGTGGGTGCTGGTCTTGTACAATGGGGAAGTTGGGTGCCCTAAATAGCTACCCCTGTTGCTTTGAGATCCAGGAAACAAAAGTATGCATTGAGGAGAAAAAGCTGAGTCTTACAGCACTGAATGTGAGCTGGAATTGAGTGTCTGAGCATCCACAAGCATTGGGAAACTTAAAGGAACTTGGCTGTATAGTCTTTCCTGTTTCTACCCTTTCAAATGAGCTATTTCGTGATTAAAAAGGAGAAATCTTTTGCAAACATCAAGAGCAGGCAAATCTTAGCATTCTCAATACACAGGAGTGTATTTGTTTGCACTAATTCAGATTCCATTCAGCCCAGGGAAAGAATAAACCTTTGCTTGAGAAAGCAATGCTCAAAGTTTGAAATGGCTCAGCAAAAATGCACAGCAGAATCTGCAAGGTTACTGTCACCAGCCCTGACTGGTACTGGAAGACTTTCTGAAATGAGCTCTGAAAGAACAAGCAAACCAACCCAGAAGTTATTGCATAAAGCTGACTATTAAAAAGTGGCTGTTCTTACCTGCTTTGCAACAGCTGTTGTGCTGGTTTATAGATATCAGCAGTCCCCAGTCTGCTTTGAAAATCTTGGACTGACTAAACCAGCATCTTCTCAAGCCTTCCACAATGTAATTTGCATTTACAGGTACCTGTGACTCAATATGAGTAATATCTGTCACATCATAGCTGGCTCTAACCATTATTGCATTAGGTTCAAGACATTGTGCTTTTAGACCTTCCTTGCTATTATAAAGAGTCTCTGGGAATGAGAAGACAGAAGAGGAACTCTCTCAAAGAGGGTCAGTTTTGATTTGTGTTTCGTTTTTTTTTAAAATCTCAAAGCAAATTTACCTGCTAGCACTGCTCTGATTTAAAGAATAATCCATGGCCAGAGATACAGATTGTCTCCAAATAGCACTGGGAGTTTTTTGCATTCTTATACTGAATCCTATAATGAAATCCCCGCTGTCCTTTGCAAATGTCCTTTTATGCAGTGAATAAACCAATAATACACATACCCAAGATGTTCAAGCTCTTGATCTTTGTGCAAGTTTTTGAAATGTTGGAAGATTTTCAGTTTATTTTCTTACATACCCATGTGAGGAGCTACACAGTCACACCCATCCCTGCAGGTCAGAGCAACTGGAAGTCCATAGAGTCACCTACAAGTACAACTACAAAATTATACTAATCTACACAAACAGTGTTTGCTAATGACACCCTCGGGTTACCCACAATTTTGGATGTCTGCTATATATTAGCAAAAATGAAATTTACTGCTCAGATTACAAAAACCCAAGTTACCTGGAATAGAGCACTGCTAAGGGCTTCTGTTGGCAACCTGCCTCAGGGCACAGGCTAGCCACAGAATTCTAAATTCTCTATGCATAGACAAATTAATTCTATCAGCTACCAGCAAGCTGTTGTGTTGGAAAAAGTAGTAACATCTGTACTGGTACACACATTAAATGAGAGATGACTGGGACACACCAAGAAGAACAGCTGCCAAAATAAGTTGTAACTTTTCCTACCTTTATTCCTACCCTATTTTCCTACCTTTATTCCTGCCCTTCTACTGCATTTAGTAATTGCAAAGTGAAGCAGGTTAATAGGCCTTGAACAGGAAGTTTTGTCTTTATTCATAGGAAAGCTGCAGCATAGGAACTAGTTGATAAAGAAATGAACCAAAATAAAATTTTTAAAATTACATACAAGACTGGGCTGTGCAGGAGGAACTGGAAGGATAAGGTTGAGTACCTCAAGTGACAGGAGGGGCTGCTGTTGGTCAAGAACTTTTGTTAGAAAACATCTTCCAGAGAAATGAGAGTCTAAGAGGAATGTCAGGAAGAGCTCTTTTCTCAAAGCTTTGGAAGGAAAGGAATACAAAACCAACTACCCCCATTATAATAATTAAATAAGGATGGATAGTTGGTGCTTTCATGAAAATCTTCAACAGCTGAAACCAACAGACCTGATCAGAAATCATCTGACAGAGACTGAAACAGGGATGCAAAGCAAAAGACTCAAAGCAAGAGACTCACCCTGTGCCTGTTTGTGTCATCTTCCATTGGCAGCTGATGAAGAGCCAAGGTTAAACCTGGAGAGGCTGGGCAGCCTTGGAAGCACCTCCCTGCTCCAGTTCCTGCCAGAGCTCCTGGGCACACTGACTGAGGACAACAAAGCAGGTGAGGATTTACCAGAGCTGTGGGAGGGTGCCCTTGGTTTGCACCCACAGATATCACACCCCAGCTCCCAGGTATTTGCTAAAATACAAAGTTATGCATAAGCAGCAAACAGCTGCCACTCAGTTAACAGGGACTTTGGGGAAACCTGCTGAGCATCCATGCCTGCAGCTCAACACCACCTCAAAGTCTTCAAATGAGTGTTGCAAAACTTCCAGATAGCCAAACCAGGGCAAGGAGAAGATTGCCCTGAGAGAGAGCTGGCAGACAGAACAAAATAGCAGTCTTACAGAACATCAGCACTTGCAGCCAGCACAGAATCAGTAGCAATGGATGGTTTGGGAAGCAAGAAGTGTTATGCTTGTACATTCCAGCCCAAGACCTCTGTCAGCTATAGCATTATGGCACATGAGAATACTTGCCTAATTCATGACTTCTAAATGGTAAAACATTTCATTGTGTCTCCCCTCTAACAGGTCTTACCCCCAGCAACTATAACCCAGGGGAAAATATCAAAGAGGTAAGTAAATCACCATTTGTCATTGAAACAAGAAAAATAAGACTTCAAACTACACATAATCGTTACCAAGACATTTCAGATCCACAGACTTCACAAACAGCATAGACTAAAGTAGTATGCCACAGTGTTCTTGAAGCTGGAATCATTCAGATAGGCAGGAGAGGGAGGAAAAAAAAAAAAAAGAGAGCAAGTAATCCAGACCATTTAATTCTAAACCCTCCACTTGTTTTTTTCTTTCCTTCTTTTTCCCTAGAGAAACAGCTAAGTAAAGGCAAATTTCCAGCTTCATCAGCCTAGGCACCAGTATTCCACCACTACCACCCTCAGCACAGGCAACACAGTATTATCAGATTTGTTATGAGCCATCACACACATGGACAACATCATCTCTGTTTACTTCCTGCTAAATTAAATGTAAATGCAGAATACAGGGATGAGTTTTAGTGCAATATCTAAAGCAGAGGTCACACTGGGAGTCCCCTCGTTCCCCCTGTGTCAGAACACAGGGCTGGGTGATGAGGAAGGGTGGGGGCAGTGGGAAGTGTACTTTCCCCCCGGGAACCACCTGCCAGTAACCTCTAATGCTGTTGGATTTCAGACTTTCTATGGGAATCATCCTCGAATTGCTTTGCTGGGACGCTTCTTGACCAAGGACAGGAAACAGTACAAGAAACGTGGGAATCTTTCTGAGTGCTTCTGGAAATATTGTGTGTAAACAGGAAACTCCCTGACTGGTTGCATAATTTATACAGATGTCTGAAAACGTGTATATAGACTCGCTTGATTTAAAATGAGAATAAAGAAACATGAAGGCAGCGCCTAACTTTAGACTGTGCTACTTGGAAATGAATAAATTCTTGATGTTTTGCAATTATGTTGTGACCAATGTGGTAATTTCTTAGAGCTCAGCACAACAGGAAGGAAGTAATGAGAGAAAGAGACAAATACACAGCATAAAGAGAACTTGGGCAGGGGAAGCAAAATACCCATGGGGTTCTGTGAAAACTCCCAGAAGAGCTCAACTGTGTCTAAGTCCAGAGGCAAGGGGATTTTCTCCTTTGTCACTTGATATAGATTGGGGGGCCACGAGGAAAGGTCATTGCTGCATTCCCTGAAGATGTTGAGCACTTAAGGGATGGCAGCTTAACAATGCCATCCCCCAGGCACCACAAAAACAATCAGCACATGTCAGGATCAAGCATCTGCTCCCACTGCTGCTGGAGATGAGTTTCTCTCTCAGCCACTTGTAAAAAGACCCACAAATCTATTTCTCTGCCCAGCCCCCAGCAAGCCATGACAGGGCTGCCTGTGCCCACGATGAATTTTAAGAATTGTGTGTGATTATCATCAAGCACAGTATGGAAGGTAAACATGGTTGTCAATGTCAAGACTTTACACACAGATTTGGACAGTCAGTGGAGGCAGGAATGACACCATGTGAAAGATTCTGTGGCTGTGACCCACACACAGGTGCAGGAAGGTGATACATGGACAGAGATAATCTGTGTTACCTCCTGCTTCGAGACTCAAGGGCAGTGACGTTTGTTCCCCTGAGCTACCACTCATTGATAACATCGCTGTATCTTGGCATGTAACATAAATAAAGGAGAGGACAAAACAGTAATTACAAGAAGCTTCTAGCCTGACTCCCCTGTGTGCAGAGTACCTCCAGACTCTCAGTTCTGAGCACCTTCTGATAGTAACTTCAAGAAATAGAGCTAAACAGGAATTGTCTCTGGGGGATGCCATTTTTGATATCATCACAAATTGTCTGAGCTGTGAACCCCTGCTCAATACATACTTTGTACAAACTTCACTCCAGGCTCACAGAAAGCCTGAAGTAAACACCTAACAGTGATACACAGGCTACATTGATCTCAATAGTACACATCATAAATCTCTGACTGTGCTGTTTAAACAAAGCCTACAGGTTTAACACAGCTTGTTCACTTCACATAAATTGTAAGACAGATGATGCCATCTGTAACAGAGAAAAATGTCCTCAAAGTCAGAGCAGCGGGATACACTGTGCAGCTATTTCAAATCTTCTAAACATTCATCCTTCTCTTACACAGTGGAGCAAGTCAGTGGCTCTCTGGAAATTACTCTTTTTCTGCTACCTCATCAGCCAATAAAAAACTTGTCAGAAAAGACTTAAATTTATCTAAATGAATAATCAGCTAAGATACACATATAGGCAGGGAGAAGTGTCGAGTCTAAAAAATCTGGGGAAAAAATATTTTCAAAAACTGCAAGCATAAAGCTATATAAATAAAATCAGAGTGAATGAGAATAGAAAAAAATTTACAAGTGTTAAAAAGTTCACTAGCCATCTACCTGAGAAAGGAAAGAAATGAGCTGTCAGGTGTTGAGGATGGGGTCAAGACATGGTAATTGAGCTATTTATAGCTATTAATAGCTATTTATAGTGCAACCTTTGTTTTAAAATTACAGAACACTTTCTAACATTTCTGGCATCTAAAGAAGCAATACCAAATCAATTTGTTATTCCAGCTAGCCAGCTTGCAGCAGCAAGGACTGAGGGGGAATTTAGCTAATTCTAATATACCAGAATTTCATCAGTCTGAAACTTAGTCACAGTCCTTGCCTCTGGAAAGGAAGGAGTTCAGACTGTCTTTAGACATCACTGGTACTTCTCAAAGAGAATTGTTTGGGACACTGTTGAGCACCCAAGTGCTTCTTTCCTGAAGGACATTCCTGGCAGATGCCAGATAAGCTCAGGTCCAGGGCCCAAGAGCAGAGCCTGGCCAGTTCTCGACACAAGAGGGCAAACTCCACTTCTCCCCCATCCTGCTGCGACACCCAGCTCCTGCCAGCTTTCAGCTCAGAGCTTTTCCTCTCTCCTGCAGGCCACAGACAGAACTGCAGAGAACGAACCAGACTGCAGAAGGAGTCTGGAAGGCAGGCAGGTTTGCCATTCCATCGGAAGGTGTGGCAGGGGAAGTCAGCCAGCAGCATCCTGAGCCCACGGGCACTGGTAGCAGGGGCAGAGCCCCACAGCAGCAGGGTGTGATGGATACCCTGACAGGGATTATGCTGCTGTGAAGCAAAACCTACTACAGAAAATGCAGGCCCATTACCTGTGAGAATGGGATGATTGAGCATCACAGGTCCAATTTCTCACTATCTGCCAAAAATACAGCAATACATCACACAGCTCACCTCCGACATCCACACAAATGTGTAACTGCAGGCTTTCAGCTGTGAGCCAGAACCTGAGCTGGCAGGAGGATGACTGCTGTTGACAAAGCAGGAATGGGGATAGGCTGACAGAGCCTAGATCTTTGAATAAAAACACAGATCCATCCTGAACATTTTTCATTTCACAAGCCTATTCATTTATCCTCATTTTTTGGAATAAATAGATAATTTGACTCACATTTTAAGAATGCTTAAAATGACCAACTAACCCTTAAAAAAAAAATAAAAAAAAAATCAATAAACTCTCAGCAATGACATATCCAATGTTACTTTCAAGATGCCTGTATTTCAAGGCACTGTATCACTTACCTTATCAGAAGCAGTTCAGTTACATACTCATCTAAGATTACTTCTTTTCCAATTTCAGTATGATGCTACTTTTGTTCTGTAACTTGTACTCCCTGCTGTCATTTTGCCTTTCTCCTGCAGGCTTCTTTAAGGACTATCATATCTCTCTGTTAAGTCCCTTAAAGCAGAAAAAGATGAAAAAATTGTTGCTCTGCAATTAGTTAAGAACTTCCTTGCTGTATGAGACATGCTCATTAATTAAACCTATCTTTTTTTCTCTGTACTTCCTCTAGAACAAAACTTTTTTTAGAAAAGTCAACACAGACAGAAGCTTAAAACTCCTGCATGCCAAAACCCAGCAGTTTAGAAATACAAATGTAATATTTCACACACAAAAAGTGTTTGCCCTTGTGGGATACAGTTAGAAAAGAAAGAATATATCCTGGAGTTGACAAGATGGAGTGTGACTGAAAAAACCAAAACTGCCACAAAACTCCTCAACAAAATAGCTAAATGGCCCCTATGTGGCCATTTTCACTGTACCCACGACCCCATGGACACTGTATCCCAACCCATACACAATCAAAAAAGGTATTGAGAGTTCTGTTAAAAGTCTGTTTTCTACACATTACCAAGAACAAAATAAACACACATTTGAACATTTTGCCGCATATTTTCAGTTTTATTTATAAAATCAGATGCTCCTTTAAAGTGTACAGTTAAAATCACAACTGTAAATTCAACCACAGCTGAATATTGTTTCAATAAAATACTACCAACTGATGTAAAAATTCATTCAATTGTGATTCAAAACTCAATTCAGCTGGAAGATAAACTTACCAATACATTATTCATTCAGCAAGTATTTACCACACTGTAAAAATACATGAGGGTCCCTTCTGTTCATAGCAATGCCATGAAAATATCTGCACAACAACTCATCTTTTAAAAACATAATTCTACATTTATGAATACAACAACAACAAAAAAAATTGCCAGCGAAATCCTCCGAGGGTTTCCAAACTGCTGACACCCCCACAGGGGGTAGTAACTGCATCAGTGCTGTACCAGCATGTTTTCCCTCTGACCACTAAGTAAGTAATTTTCCAAGCAGCTCCTAATGTTGTCTGCAATATTTTTCCAGGCAAAACAAAGCCACAGAAACAAAACAGCAGCAGGTGCAAATCCATCTGCAACACTCACTCCATTGGCCTTTCTGATCAGAACTGCATCTTGCTGAGATCACTTCAGCACACTACAAGGACTGAAAGATTAGTACAAGCTGAAGAAAAAACTGCCAGCTCCTGAAAACTTAAGGAAATAAGGTCAAAGGCTTGATAAGGCATTTCATTGCAAGATGAAGTTGTGGTTCTAGCAGGGTAACTTGGGAAAGTTTGGGGTTTTTTTTATCCTAAGGGGATAAAGCCTGCTGATTTTGCAGCCAAGACCATTTGATTTTTGGGCAAATAATAGTCTCATCATCACACAGGGCACTGATTCATCTGTTCATTCCTCTTACATTATATTCCCACACCACAATTTTTCCATAATCCAGGATGTGTGTAGCCCCAGAGAAGGGAATCCTGCACCTAAGATTTAGCCAGGATTAAAAACTTGGAATTCAAACTCCTAGGCACATGAATTTTCATTATATATGTCCAGAGGGTCTATGGTATTCACAGCAATTTAAAAACTGCCTGGGCTTTCCGTTGCTCAAGGATTCTACTGGGCACAAATTCACAGCAGTAGGGGGTACAAGAAGGGTTAACATCTCCAAACGAGAAACACAGGTAACATGATCAGGTTTCTACATACAGAATTTTCATCATCTGTAGCAAATACAGCACAGAATACAGCAAGTGATGACTCCCAAATTCTACTCCCGAATTCAGAATGAACTGCAGGTATGCACCTTTGTGTCTCTGCCTCTTTCATATAACTGGGATAATAAGAGTAATCTTTTGGACATGGACCTGTGGATCAAAATCATTATTCAAGTGTTAGGCATATATTGCCATTCTCCTGAACTAAGTCTCACTGTTTTACAAGAGAGATGACATGTCTGCCAGCTAACACATTGCAAAACAGCTCATTTTCATACCTGGGAAATGAATGAACACTTTCAAACTCAGGAAATAAAAATAACATATGCAAAGGAGTCTACTGTTATCATAACTTTCCTTCTAACTTAGGGTTCCAAACTAT